CCGGATGTATTTCCATGTAAAGCTGCTACCTGGATCACATCTTAGCTAGCAGCACGGAAGCCGTGATCTAAAGTATCATTAAAGCTGCATGAATGATATTACGGAAGAAATTATCGTGCTATTTGTATGCAACAAAAAAGAAATGCTTTATTTTTAAAGGGAATGAAATACCTAAAGCTTGAAAGTTTGCAGTTATCTGTTGAGGGTGAGGGAAAGGCAGAATCCTCTGCCAGGAGCTTTGGGGAAGCRGAGCGGGTGAGGTGTTTGCTGTGCTGTGAGATGGTGTGAAACTTCACCGCCAGTCCCCGGTGGTGCCAAAACCTTCAGCTGGGCACAGCCCACCTCACCACAGACCTGGGCAAGAGGCCCTTGCTTTTAATACGAGCTCTCTGCTCATCCAAAAAGAAAGCCCTGAAATAATTAATGTGATTCTGATGGCTCAGGGCAGCGCTGATTAAAGTCATGTGAGCGCAGGCCTCTACCATTGTCAGCTCGCATTAATGTTGGGAGGCAGAAGTGCGGGGTGTGCTCCTCGCAAATCACAGCCCTGTCAGCCCCTGCCCTGTCGCTGCTGTCACACGCGGGGGCTGTTCAGCCTTCGGTGAAACGGGAGCGAGTGTGTAAAACACAGACACAGCGTCTGGCACGTTTCTGTGCTCTGCCTCCRCTTTCCCCCCGGCCGGAGCGGGACTGGCCGCACGCGATCCGGGCTCTGATTTCTGTCATTCCACCACCCTTAATCCTAATCTCGGTCTTTGCAGAGCTCGGGGGCTCCCGCTTTGGCACGCTCGTCTTTGGCATCGGGTGAGCCGGGATCCTGCTGTGTCAGGCACCTCTCTGCTTGGCAGCTCTGCACCGCAAAAATCTGAGCAGCATCTTTATAAATCCGTGTCAGGATAATCCCGCCTTGGCGAACAAAGAGGCTGCCTGCAAACAGGTGTAGCTGTGCGACAGCAGATTTTCCCTCTACTATTTGCTCTGAGGAGCTTGGGAAAAGCTGGCATTCCTTCGCGTGCCTCTCCCAAGCCTTTTCCAGGTTTTCTCTCATTTTCCCTACGGTCCTAGGCGGTGCTGTTGCCCCTGAAGCGCAGGATTCCCCAAAAGCAGAGGCTCCCGTCGCCCCGGCTGTGCGCGGATCGCTGGCAGCGCAATTAGCGGCGATGTTGAACCCGCTGCAGCATCGTGCGGYAGCTTTAATGAACAGCCGCTCCTCCGAGGGCACAGCCAGCCTGGCASAGCCKCTGCTGCATCCCCTGGCAYCGCTGGCATGCAGGGCTTGAGCAGGAAACACGGAGCAGAGTGCCTCGGGGCATCTGTGTGCAGAGGAGGAAACTCCCCGGGCTCCCTGGGGGGATTTACACCGAGCCCAGAGCTCATGGCCAGGGTAACAGAAGAAGGGGAGTGGTGGTGTCTAACGCTGCCCTTCCTTGGTTTGTTGAAGGGCAGGGGAGTCCAGCMTGACCTCCTTGGCCATGAGGATCCCCGCTCATGRCAGGMGAGAGCCAAACCTGCCCTGCTGGCACAGTCCCTGTCTGGGATGCCATCTCTCTAAACTCTGCCCCGTGTTTCCCAGGGATGCCCTGAACCCCAGGGACTCTTGAGTTTGCTGCTGCACTGGCAAAGATGGGGTGAATGCAGGAGCTGCCATCAGAGCTGTGTGCCATCAGAGCTGTCCCCAGCACAGCCCAGCTTTGGGGCTGGGTGGGACGTGCTGCCCTTTGCTCTAAGCACAGGGACTGTTTAACAGCAATCCTCTGTAATAAACAAGCTGCAGTTAGCACTCATCCAGGCTGGGAGCAGTTGGCTTTGATCTTAACTTGTGCTTGATCTTTTTTGTTTCTTCTGCTGCATCAGGGAAGTCACGACTCAGGTGTCCATCCTYTTCTGCTTTGCTCAAGAGATGAGCCCTCTCTCGTTCCCTGATATCCTTCCCCAAAGAGCCATCCTTGCCCAGAGACATTCCCCACTTACTGCCAGTGGCTGCTCTTGCTTGAACAAGTCCTGTGTTATTCTCAGCCCCCAAAGCTGCGTTCCCCTCAGGCTGTTGGRTCTCCCAGMTGTGGGGAGGTGWTCGAKCCCCCCTTGGAGAGGTTTGTTGGTSCTGGRGCTGTSACACAGCCTGGGAATATTTCMTTGCCTTGAGCTCAGTTTTGCTGGATCATATTGGTCAGCCTGTGTGTTCCTTCTAACAAACTTTGCTCTCCTTGGAGTTTAAGTAGTATTTTTCAACYTTGGTAAAAGAGCTCAATTAGAAAGAAGCCCCTTTGCAGCCATACACAGGACTGGACATTTCCAAGTTCTTTATTCCCCCTCCCCTTATCAAGGACATGGTCCCAGCAGCTCTCTGTGCTGCTCTTTTTTTTCTTGTTTTTTTTTTTTATTTCCATTGATTCTTTTTTAGATTAAAATGGATATTTTTGTATTGACCATCTAGGGATATACATTTTCACTGTGCAAGTTATCTAGTGTAGCAATTTCCCCTGCAATTATCCTGGTATAACATGGATGAGAACAAACTTTTTTTTCTCTTTTTTTTTTTCCTTGCTGCTTGCATCAAAATACTCCACAAGGGGGCAAAGATTCCCATTTCCAGCTCAGTTTGCTGTCGCTGCCAGGATCAGCTTCTCCAAAAWGCTCTAGAGCACAAAATCTGCAGCTAGATCATCAGAAGATGGGATCACTGCAGGGGGGATAAAGTGCTAAGCTCTTCCAAAATTCTGAAGTTTTTGATTTACATAAATGCATTGTCAGCATAGCTGACTTGTGACCAAAAATGCAAATCCTATGCACAGCCAGTCCCAGACAAGAGATTTGCCATATTTTCTTGGGTGGATAGGCAGCACCAGGGGCTCTGCCAACGTGCTGTTTTTATCAGGAAGAGAAATAGGTTCCACAGTGAGTGAGTACAAGACATCCCTCCTTATCCAGAGCCCTGGGGTTTGGGTAGGGCATGAGAAGTCCTGTATTTCCTCATGGGCACGATGTGCTGAAGCWGCTGCAACATGTGGAAAGAAGTTAAGCCCCAAACCTTTTTTGRCCTCCTCTGGTGGTGTGAAAGTTGACAAATATCCTCTTGAATTAGTTTAATAACATAAATTCATTATTACCATGGTTGAGTTCCCTTTTTCTGGTCCCTTAAACATCTAAATAGACATGTTTCAGGTTTTTTGAAGGAGCTGTTTTTTGGAAAGCCAACTGTCCCTCTGAAGTTYTCCCTTATTCTTCAAAAATACCTGTTTTTGCAATTGCAAGTCTAGTTTAATTAGAGGAGGTTTTGCTTGAGATATGCTGACACTTCCATTTGCAACCCAAATACAGAACAAAATTCATAGTTTGTTCAAAATTTAAACCTTTGATATCACAAAGTGAGAGCACTTTTTGAAGTTCAAACTTCGTTTTTTCTTTTTAAATCAGAAAGTTTTCAGAGAGTTATCATTATTTTCCTAAAGGGTGAATGAAGCTTCACATTTTAGTCCCTGTACTCTACATTCTGTAACCAGCTATTTCCAGTGAGATAGGCCTGAAGTTTCACAGGATGCTTGTAGTTATTTTAGTAGTTTGGCCAAACAAACCAATCCAGATGGCTGGACTGAGAGATGTAATCTTTTTTTATTTTTTTAAAGTTGATTATCCCCAGCATAGCTGTTTTAAAATGGCTTCATTAAAAACTGAAAGGCTGCACGCGAATTAGCTTCATTTACCACTTAAAAAGCTAAAATGTTGAAAATTGGTTCAGATATTTGTATTTGAAAGTCTGCAGATGAGTAATCACAGCAGGTATGCTTTGTTCAAAATTGCTTTAAAGGACAAAGGCAATTTCACATTCAAGTCAATCGAGATATCCTTTAAAAAGATGCTGGTAGTGGATCAACAACTTGAGTGCAAGGCTGAGAGGTCAAAATTATTTGGGCTTTTGAAGCTGGGATTTTTTCTCAGTGTAAACCTGAAGAATGTGCAACTTAACAATCTTACCTGGGTTTTTTGGGGGTTTTGATGACTCTAAAARAGGCCATACTTTGTATGGTGACTCTCCTCTGTAATTGATTCAGCTCTTCTATGATGGAGCTTTGGCTACCTTGGTTCTTGTGTCCAGAGTGAGCCAAGGGCTATCCCAGCCTGTGGTCAGTGAGCTCCCCATGCTGATCTCCTCTGTTTTGGGGTACCCTCTGCCAGCAGGAGGCTTAAATTTCTGCCTGAGGTTTATTGGTGTGAGTGGCCGACCCCTTTTAGCCAGGAAATGGTGGATGTTGGGAAAACAACCTGCTGTTGTTTTTTCCTTCCACCCTCTTGTGTCACAGCAGCGCTGGGAGTGCAGTTCTCTGTGCCAGAGCAGGTGGGAGATTGCACTCAACCTTGGTGTCAGTCCAAGGRCATCTCAAAAGAGCATTAAAAAGCATTTGCTGCACAGTGTGGGGAGCTCTTGTTGAGGATTTTGCTGCATATTGAGGAGAACAAATCCTGGCRATGCAAATGTGACTTGTGCTTCATCTGAGCACGCAGTGGTGAATTTGAGTTAAGAAATACATACCCTGCTTAGCTAAATATTGAGCAGTCAGAACTCTTGACAAACTGCTTTGGAATAAGCCCTTAGTTTAGATAGATGCATTTTYCCCTGTTTAAATATAGTTAATTAAAACAAATCAAACTTCAAATAGACATTTTCACATTTGTTAAGGTGTGCAGAAATCCCAGATGCTTTGGGGAGCAGAACCRTGGAAGGGGTACTCTGTGGTCCCCACACTTGTAGTTGCAGGAGCTGCAGAGGAAAAGTGATCTTGAATCTGTTTCAGAGGGACAGTTTGAGTTTTCACAGTGAAATCTGTTAGTTTTGYCATTTCCTTTCAGGCTCAAGTTAGACCCAAATGGTACCTGAATAGAAGGTCATTGAGTTTTTCTGATTTAATGCAGGAAAARATAAGTGCACTGAAACTAGTAACCTATAATGAGATTTAGATATATCTTATGTGTGAGATGGAAAAATGCTTGTTTTTTATGATAAATTACTTTGTTTTGTATATCCCTCTCTGTCAGTCTGCCTATCAAAATCTGTCGTCGGGGAATTCAACCGTACCCAGCATTAACCGGGTAGCAGCAAAACTGTGATTTATATATTTACTTACGTGCATGCAGAAAAAAAACCCTGATCAAAGGAGGGAGAGAAAAATTGATGGAAAACACCCACTCAGCGACCAATAACCGTCTGTTCTCTCCCTTTCCACTCTCTCTCTCTCTTCCTTACAGCAACCACTTGAAAGGAAAGACAGCCAAAACAGTTCCCAGCACAGCGTCTCGAGCCACCGCAGCGGGCACACGGCGTCCCCCGCGCACAGCACCCAGGTGCTGCCGGACTACGCCGCCCCGGAGGCGCCAGCCCCCGACCAGCCGGACACTTCTGGGCAGAAAAAGCCRGATCCGTTCAAAATCTGGGCCCAGTCCAGGAGCATGTATGAAAGCCGACGTGAGTATGAAGCAGGTGTAGTTGCTAAGGCTACGGCTCCGGCAGCTGCTCCCTGTGTGTGTTTTTCTTTTTGCGAAGAGCTGAATGTTTTAGGTTTCTGTTTTTAGGGAAATGTGAGTTAATTTGGTGGCTGTGGATGAGATCCRCTTGGGAGAGCTGCAGTTTGCTCTCTCACAAGGGATGGATTTAGATCATCTCTAGGAAAGGGTACTTAGACCAAAGCTTAATGTGGAAAAAATCCCTTTAAAATTAAAGACTGTCWTTTCCCCTGTATTTTTATTGTGCTTTTAAATTAGGCTGAAGGAGAATTTTCAAGTTTGTTATCCAATTCCTAAACTCTTTTTTGAGGTTAAGACTCGTTATCTGATATGCATAGGAATTTCAGTAAGGAGGGGAAGTATTTAGTTTGCTGAAATTCATATCAGGCGCTTTTCAGCCTCACCCTGGGGAGGAGAAAATCCAGCTGAGCCATTTTTACTTTGACCAGAGTGGACACTTTAACAATACAGATATTAAATGCATATTGTAAGTGGCTTTTATGGCAATTAATAATCTGCACACTTGGCTAATARTTCAGCAGGGTTTTGACTCTGCTCCAAGACTATAAATATGGTTTCAATCAGTTTCTTCTCTGGAAACAAAATAAACACATTGGCTTTGCTTTAATTGCACTGCTGAAGATGATCAAATCTGTGAAAGCTTCTTAAAGAGTTAGAGCATTAGGTTCATTTTGAAAGGCAGTAGTTACTGGAGTTACAGAAAAAGAAGTATCGAAGTCTTGATGCTCAGAGAGTATTATCTGCAGTTTGATTTTATTGTGCTAACTGGAAACTGGTAAAACCAGTCAGAAATGAACTTTTACCTCAGAATGAAAAATGGTAGGGCTTCTTTTTYCCTGACCAAATGAATCACTTTGAAGTCTTATATCCTGGAAAAATTAAATCATGAGTCACAGTTTCTTGGCTGAAGATGCATCTCTGTGGATTGAATGTCTCAGCAATGCAGTTTGTAGGTGTTTCAGCTTCTGTGCTCTGCTTCCCTCCCCATCTTTTCCTGGGGATTAGGTGTCCTGACTCCATGGGCTCCCGGGCCAGGTCACGCTGATCTGCGCAGTGCAGCGACAGAACTTGTACRTGCAGCTCACTGAAATAGGAAAAAGGGGTGAGAGCTGTGGGACAGCGACTCCCCAGCCCTGCAGAGCTGTGGGCAGAGCTCCTTCTTCCCTTTGTCCTTTGGGTGGACAAATATCCCATGGCACTGGCATTCCCACTGCCCAGCCTGCGTGGTTCCCATTGGCATTGTGCTGCCATTGCCTCCAACCCCCTGCAGCTACTTAGCTAATTTCTAATTAACTGTTTAACTCATACTAATTAGTCATTAGTATCAGCTTAGCAGCCTTAACTCCTGCTTGTCTTTCCTGATAAAACCCGAGATTGAGCTGGAGAAATCCTGAAGTGCACAGGCAGGCAGTTGCCCTTGTGTCACCTCCAGGGCCATGTGCTAAATCCTCCCTCTTTCCTCGATGGCTGCAGTTACCCTGTGGAGCTTTTGTGGATATCCTTGGCTGTGGATAGAGCCCTTCCAGAGGCCTTTTCACAGGCTCTTGTCCTGCTGGTTTCCCATCTTTTCCTGAGCCACGATCCTCACTGCTTGGGCCTGTTGCTAGACCAGGGTCTGCTCCACCCCTGCCTCTTCCCTGTTTACCTTTCCATAGTTCAGCAGCTCTGTAGTGAGGTTGATACTCTTTTATTGCTTCAGTCCTTGTCTCCTGCCTCTTCTTCCTGGTGAGACTGTCTGAACATTGGGGCTTTTCTATGACTTTTGCATCCCATTGCTGTTCCCTTCWGGGAAGGTGTGTTCTGAGATTTCTTGGTTTCATAGATTGGGATTATTTGGAGAATGGTGAAGTGTGATACGGTCATATCTCACTTTAAACCATTAGAAGTGTCCAAGAACCTGTGAATTCCCAACTCTAAGCTGGAGTGAAACATATTCCCTGGGGATTAACCTGTGCTCTTAGCGACATGGCTTTGCTCTGGGTAATGAAATGTGACAAAAAGCAGGAAAGATAAGTGAAAAATGAAGTTGGACATGCTCTGTCTCCTCTTGTGGTCTGATCCCAAAGYGTGACTGGTGGTTTTATGTAGAGGTCTGTGGTCAGCTCCTCCTTTCCTCAGCAAGCCCTCACTCCTCAGTAGTCTCCTAAGGGGAGTCTGTGGTTCACAGCTGAAGCCTGGCTCTGCTGCCCTGGGTGCTTGGGGTGAGGCACTGTGTTTCATTCCCTTTGTTATGAACCCGGATCCTCCCTTTGACCTTCATTCCCAGTGCATCCCAAGCACTGGCTGCATAGCTCTGGGGTCATTTTTAGGGATCTCTGCTGACATAGAGCCCCAGAATTTGATGGGAGAAGCGTTCCCTGGGGACTCCAGCTTCACTGTCTGTCAGCTCCACGTGTGCTGTTCTTCATGTCCTTACCCAGCTGCAGTTGGGTTCAGCTCCAGTGCCACCACTGGCTGCAGGGAACAGTCACATCATTGCTTTCTCCTTTACTTGGGCTCACCCACTCCCTGGGGCTCTGGGGCTGCCATCTCCTGTGGCATCCATAGCTTTGGGTGCTGGGTGTGCCTCCCTCTGCAATTCCTGACGGAGGTGTGAGCACACCTGAGTGAGGTTCTGATGTCACCCGAGTGCCAGAGCACAGGGTGGGTGACACATCCAGTAACCAGGGCATTTGGTGGGTTTTAGAAAGCTCCACCACCAGAGGAGTCCCAGCACAGCCCTCCCTGCTTGTCAGTCCAGGGCTTGCCCTCTGTTAATTGCTGGCCTTAAATTTAAAAAGCCCTCAAGAGGGTTATAAAATGCTCTTTTGGAGAACCAAAAGAGGAGTGGAGAGGCAGGGTTTTGAATCCTCAACAAGTGGACTGAAAAACAGCAACAACCCTTCATGTTGAAGTATATGATGAATCTTAAAAGGATAGAATTTTAGAGCATTAGATTATCTTAAGTGTTTTATTTTATCCCATTTTTGAAATTGTTGGGCATAAAAAGARCATAGTGCAATTTTTCAAGTGCAGTTGACACAAGAAGATGAATTCATTAACTCTAGCCCAGACAGATTTTTTTTTCATCTAAAAATAATAATATAAAGAGGTTTTATTCAGTATATGAATTCGTCTTCTCCAGGATATTTCTAAGAAATACTGAATCTGTAATGAACACCTACTGCCTTTTTCTCTGTGAATGCATCCCACTGTTACTTAGATTAATAATAAGAATGTAGACACAGAAAGCAAAGGCAACATTTTAACCAGAAATTGYAAAATTCGTTCTTCCTCTATTTGAGTTGTCCTTGGCTCAGTATTTAATTTGAAAAGGCCTTATGTGACCTATCTCACTGAAGTCATTGGTAGAGCWCAATTAGGTTGAAAAGCACCATAATCCATAATTGTGTAAAAGCTTGTGTTTTTATGATTTACCCAATGCACCTTCATATCAGAAAGCACTCTAATTCTGTGGGGGAGAGCCACAGACATTGCTTGTTTAGGGGAAGAAAAAAAAAAAGAATAAAAATTAAGCTAGAATTAATAATGCAAAGCTAAGCAAAGACTCCATCACTGTTTCTGGCTGAGGGGAAGCAGATTAGAACTGCAACTTTATTCCACAAATGCGGGTTAAAGTTCCTCCGTGTGCAGCTCCCCGGGGTGAGGGGATCAGCCCTGCAAGGTGCTGAGCACTTGGGCTCAGGTCCAAGGGAGCTTATTTTCGAGCTGTAAACCCAAAGGGACAGGGATGCTTTAAGGCTAAGGCTGAGCTCAGATGCTCTGCTGCAATCTGGCCCAGAGTCACCAGTCTTTGCTGGATTAAGACGTTTGAGAATAGCCGGCTTTGTGCGAGTGTGCAAACAGCATTTGGTGGTGGTAACAAAMGCACTCCTGGCTGGTGCTGAGCTTGAGCTGCCTGAGCTCCTCGTTATGGGTAACTCATTGCTGCTCGTGGGAGTTGTGTACATGAATCAGAGAGAAGGACCARCCCTTAAGGTTTTAAAAGCTGAAGCAGTTCCAAGATCCAAGAATGACATAAGTGAAGAGCACTCAGAGAGAGAAACAGCAATTGAGTGGCTTAGCAGAGRGCCACAATTCAGGAACCTCACACTGTTTTATTGAAATGTATTTTTATAATATGCTTTTTACTTTTCGATGTATTATTAAACTTCCTTAAAGATTAACACAATCTGTTGTCAAATTTTTCTCATGTGGCCTGATTGCTTTGCAAAATACCGTATCCTACATATGGCCATCTGTCAAAACAGCAGTGACAAAATGAATTAATCTGAATTGCAGATGTGTTAATGAATCCCTTTGAAGGGCTTAAGCATTTAATTAAAAGTAAAGCAGAACACGATAGAGAATTTTTAAGGCTTTTAAAATATTCGAAGKTACCGTTAATATTTGAATTTTATTTTCAGGCACATAATTTGTTTGGGAGGATTTCTCTCTCCCCAAACCTAATTAGAATAATACAAACAAGTCTTGACCCCAGCATRTTCGCTCACCGGCAATCACTCAGAACTAAAAATATTTGCACAATAATACAAACATTGGATACTTTCCCCTTAAAATAGAAAAGCAGAACAYTCTCCAGAAATTGCAGCCGCCTTCTGATCAGACTGGCTTGAAAGATGATGTTTAGTAAAAGCCCTTTGGTAGGGTTATGTCCTTTTATTGTACTAATGGTAGACAAACAGTTGCAGTGATACTCTTGGGCACACAGATGTACCCATGCCCTTGGAGAATGTGTTGCTAAAAAGGACTGAGCTCACGTCGCGTGAGCTTGCTCATCTTGTCAGGAGCTCCTGCTGAAGCCATCGTTCAAAAGCTTTCCGTGCCACCATAAAGGGTTGGTTAAAGGGAAAGGACAAAAAACTTAGAATTCTTCTGCAGTGGGATAGTTTAGAAAATGGATTTCTTGTAAATATGGAACTGCCTCATGAGATCTGTGGCTAAATCACAGGACATTTCAACTATGAAACTCTCCATCAGCTTCAGTGAGATTGTTCACTCCTGATTTCAGACTTTTCCTCATATACTTTGCTGAATCTGGGCCTTAAACCTTTTGTACTTTGCCAAGCTATGAGTCACTGAAAGTGCTGCTGCTTCAAATGAGCCAGTGACTAAAGCAAACTCATACTGATCCTTSTTGAATCCATCTTGTGTTGAAACTGATGTCACACTAGGCAGATTTTTATTTTATATAACATGTTAAAGTTTGCATAAGAAAGTTTGATTAAAATTACCTGTAATTACGCACTGTGTTCATTGTTCATCACCACATATTTAGAATTTCATTTAACATTAGATAAAGGTATTTCTATTTGCAAAGCTAACTCATGTCATGAAAGTGAAAGGTGTTTTGTAGAAAAGCATACTTAAGGTGTTCTCACAGAAATTTTTCCTCTAGGGAGATAAAAAGAGTTTTTTTTAAATATACTTGCATGCATGTGCATAAATGTATAAATTCATATGTGTGTGTGTTTTATATCCACATGTGCACAAGCATGTGTAGATAGATGTGAAATTTAGTATGTCATAATCCATAGTAGCTATAACCTTAACAAATGGTGCATGAAAGCCTAACACGACCCATAAAGTCACAACTAATTAAATGAACTAACGAGAAAGCAGATGCATTAAGCTTTGCAAAATTGTAAAATTAATATTACAGCTATGTCACCTTCGCCTGCAACTGGACTGAGCAAGGGTGAGAGAGAGAGAGAAATCAATTCCACGAGTTTTGGAGAATGTAAGACTGTGCCGRGAATGTATCTGTGTCTTGTGATGTCTTGTTCTGGTGTCATTGCTGCTCTGTGGAGGGGGCTCTTCATCACCCAGGGAGTCTGGCAGGGCCATTTGCAAAGGTCACTCACCGAGGGACAAAATCTGGCCTTGCTGTCCTGGCTGGACACCTGTCCTGGTGTAGGTGGCAAGGGGGAGGGTATGTCTTGTCCCTTCATGAGTTTGCCTGTGTGTCTCATCAGCATCACCCACCTCTCCTGCCATTCACAGAACTCTTCTTACCACTTTTGCACTGCTCTCCAAATGGTCTGGACGATTTAATTAATTTGGGATAAGCAGGCTGGTAAATTTTACCCATTTGGGCTATGTATGTGTTTTATCAGTCGGACACGCTTGAGATCAGTCAAGGTGCAGGGATGCAGCAAATAACTCCTAGAGGCCATTTTTCATTAATTTTCAGCCAAGTTTCAGCAGCACCATGTTCTCTTTAAGTAAGAAAWGTGTCTCCTCTGAGGTGCTACTGAATAATGGGAGAACCTAAAATAATTCTCCAGTAGGGAATCTCAGAGGGTCTCACCTCTGAAGCTCTGCGTTGGGTGGGTGTTCTGGGTTGTGCCACTGAGTCACTGCCCTGCAGAAACACTGCAAAAAGTGGTAAAAGGAGCTTTGTACCCACCCTGTGTAAAGGTCTGTTGTCTGTGTGTCTGCTGTGTCTGTGTTCCACCTCACTGTAATCCTTCCAGTGGGAGGAGCGCTGTGGGRAAGAACTGGCTCCTTTTTGGGTAGACCTGTCTGTTTTTGTTGCTTTGGTCTGACACAGAGTGCCCAGCCCAGCCTGCTGTTCCCTCCAGCGGCGTTAATTGCAGAGCTGGGACCCAAACCAGGGCCATACGGCATCGTTCAGTGGGACTGAGGGGTGACAAATGGGAAGGTGTTGGGAGATGCCGAGCACACGGACCCACACCAGAGCTCTCTGCAGAAGCCACTTTACCTCTGACAGACCCAACACACATTATTAATTGTTTGGGGCCAGCCTTTGCCAAAATAGCCTGCGAARGGCTGGAGAGACGCTCCCGACTGTGTCTGCTCGTCACGCTCCCCTCGCTGAAGGCGGTGACAAACAGCAATTAATTCATTGTCTGAATTCTGCTGTTGTGGCACACATCTGCAAGGGGCGAGCTGCCTCCAGCCAGGGGAGATGAGCCACGAACCACGAGCAGGCACCCGGCGTGTTCATCACCCAAACRCTCTGTAATTGTGTCTGCACGAAAATCAGCCTCTAATTCAGCGAGGGCACGGGTGTTAAGCTTAGCTTATAATTGCAGGTAATTAAAATGTGAAAATATTATCTGTAAAGCTGGTTTAAATGAAAATGTCGAAGCAGACCTTAGCGTTCACCTATTAGTTTAATTTTTAGTAATCCCCATTCTTCAATTCATATTCTGTTTTAACTCATTGAAGAGAGACCATTAGAGCTAACCAAAACTCTTTAACATTGACAAGGACCAGAGTAGACCCAAATTTTTGCACAATAAGCACAGACAGTGTAAAATGCAATTAGGGCCCAATCTGATATTCACTGCTGCTAATGGGAAACAACCTGTTCACAGATACAGAAAACTAGATGATGTTTCATTAAACATGCTGCAGCCAGTGTCCAAGTAGGCACTTACTTAAATTGAATTCTTACAATATACTTTGGTTTCTTTGCTGAAGTTATAGGCAGCTGACTGGTAAAGGAAYGGCTTTTTATTGTCATTAATTATAAATTTTGGGAGGGCATCATTACCAAATTAGTCAATGTTACAGATACTATGCCATAAATATTAAATGAACCCGAAGTTGTCTTCTGATATGATACAACGTTAGCAATTAGTTTTGCATTTTTAAAAAAGGGATGAAAGCAAGCACGAGTAAGTTAATATAAAACATTACTGTTCAACAGCGTTTCAAGGTTAGTACTTGACTGTATGTAATATTCATTGTAAAAACCTTGCTGGTGTTCCATGCTAATGARTAGGTGAGGTTGAGCTTTTTTATGTTTCCAGCTGGTTTTATCTCTTCAGTGCTTTTGCAGTGCCTGTACACGAGTGAGAGTCAGGAGAGCTGCGCTGTTTTGAGTGCAGCCCTTCTGATTTACACAACTGGGGATCTGTCCCATAGTTGTTGAGAGCAGTGTTGGTAGGCAGATAGCAAACTATGCTTGGGAAAGTTAATTAAACAGCAGAAGTCATAACAAGTGGCTCTTTTGTCTCCCATGAATGAGGAGGCAGCTGTATTGTTTCTGGCAGAGTAATTCTCTGTTGTGCACATTTATTTATTAATGATTTGGAAGAGTCTCTTGCTATGGGTAATGATGCTAATATTGACAGAAGGAAATATTATAGTGATAAACAAATGGCAAGTCACAATTGCATTACCTAGAAAGTAGAAACCACTGCCTAACTTAGAGTAGTGATTTAAATAATAATCCTTTAGTATTTAAAACTATAAAACTATTTTTAGTTATGTGTAAAAAATCAAGACCACCTCATTTAAAGGTTAAAAATGCATAGGACATCCTTTTATGTACATCTGAGTAGTCCTAAATTGGGTATAAAGGTGTGATATTTTGATTAAAAATCACAGTTTTTCTTCTTTCTTTTCAGTTCCAGATTATCAAGAGCAGGATATCTTTCTATGGAGAAAGGAAACTGGGTTTGGATTTAGGATTCTAGGTGGAAATGAGCCTGGAGAACCTGTGAGTATCACGTTTTAATTCATGACATCATTCAGAAACACASCACTAGAATGTACAGATGTGCAGAACTATGCTGGACCATCTCTGTTGACATAGTGGACTATATATGTCCTGCATCTCCTCCCTACCCTCTGTCCAAAAAACCCAGAACTCCATAACTGAAATGGATTTGGCTTCTCCTTCTTTTATGATAAACCAAATGAAATCACATAGGTCCTTGGACACTGAGGACAGGATGTCCTGGYCAGGTTTGTAAATATTTTGATCTTAGAATGCCAGGTTTTTCTACTGGCTCAGTTTTCTCCTTGAATTCAGTGAACTCCTTTGCCATAAATCCAGTGCCTGTGGGAGGTGTCATCCTTTCATGCTCTGCACAGGTCACAGTTGACTGGTGGCAGCATGAATTTCCACGTTTTCTCCCTGCCAAAATTATTTTGTTCATTTATGGGAAGAGAGACCATGAATTCCTCTTCTGTTAGAGTAACTCCCCAGAACTCACTGAAGATAAACCAGGACTGAGTTGGTGGACAAGCGTGTAGTGTGGAGCTTGTAAACCCTGGAGGCAACTGAAAGGGTAACTCAATCTCAGCTTCCCTGACAGGACCCTCARTGCTTTTAACCATCCTCCTGCCTGGTCTCTGTCTGGTTGACATTTCCCAAGGCTGGCTGTCCTTAGAGTGAATGGACTGCCTAAAGAAACGAGATGTCAATTTATTACAATCTCACAATGTGCTGCGCTCACACAGAACCTCTTTCGCAGGAGCAGCTTTCCCAACCAGCAGACATTTACAACAATTTAATGTCCCTTCTAAATTGGTTCTAACYACAAGTGCCCCTTGCTTCCAGCTGGCTGTTGAGCTGGTTCTCATGTCTGTCTCCTCCTATGCTGATTGCTCAGATTTACATCGGTCACATTGTACCGCTGGGTGCTGCTGACGCCGACGGCCGCCTGCGATCGGGCGACGAGCTCATCTGCGTGGATGGGACGCCGGTGGTGGGGAAATCACACCAGCTCGTGGTGCAGCTGATGCAACAGGCGGCCAAACAAGGGCACGTCAACCTGACCGTCAGGCGCAAAGTGGTTTACACAGGTAAGGCTGCGGTGTCACCCTGCAGGGGTGGATTTTCTTGCCAGGAGCCCATCTGTTCTGCAAATGGTTTAAGGGAGAGGAAAAAAAAAAAAAGCTTCTCCTCAAAGTGCTGGGAAAACTCAAGGGATGTAGTGTTATTTTTCCTGTTTTGACTGTTTTTAGTCTTTTTTGTTATTGATCAAATAAGTTGCAAGTGCTTTTTTTCCCAGCCAAGAGTTCCTCTCAGTCTCAGCTGGCTTTCCCAGTCTTCATAAGGTTTCTGAGTTGTGCTGGACATTGTGCACACACTGCACAAATGTAGGGTGGACARAAGAGAAGCTGGCAGATAGACAAAGATGCAAAGAGAAATGACACTGCCTGGTGCCACCCAGATGAGTGATTGAAAAAYGTCCTGGTAGCAGAGGAAATGAAGACACGAGCATGAGCTTTCTAAATTACATGTGACCTTAGGTTTCATACTGCAGAGTAACTTTGRATGCTGCCTCTCCCTTTGAGTCCCTTTAGGACTCAGGTGTGGGATTTGCTTTAGCTCACTTAAAAAAAGGATATTATGTAGCTTTTCAAGTTTAGGCGTCATCAGATAAATAGGCAGCGATGTACTTTGATCTTCGAGAGAATCAAAATAACATTCAGGGTGGAAAYTAGGCCCTCAATGGAAGTTAGGACTAGAAGACTACCTCTAAAATAGSTCTGTGTTCTTATCCAGGGCTGAGCTCCTTCTGCACAATAATAAATAAATGTTCACATCTTGTTTCTTACCTTCATCCTAACATGGATTAAATGCCAGGTTATTCTCTCCTCTGACAGCCTGTCTTTAATTCCTTACCAAGGGCTGGCAGTGTGAGAGAAGCTTTAGAGGAGCTTTGGGAGGAAGGGGAAGGGCAGCTGAATTTTGGTATTGTTTTTGTGTGTGGATTTTCTATGCAGTTTTACAGCCTCCAGGCTGGAAATTACCATGAAAGATTTAGATGCATGAGATCTCTCTTGATATTTCATTCAGAGCCATGTTACTGCAGATCGAGCTATTTCTGAATCATTGCAAATGTGGACACTTACTCTAGGATAAATTATTCAGAATCCCTTCTTTCACCTTATATTTGCAGGCTTTTAAATTTCAGCATAACTTTTGTGGAGAAGGCTGTTCCTGAATTTTGGTCCCTTGTTCCTCCTGTCATCTCTATGCCAGTAGAAAAAAATTGTTCACCTAAATGGGAACTCTCTGTCTTGAGATTCATGTAGGGAGAATTTTATGCTCCTGTATTCTTAATATGAAGAATGCTATATGTTTAGTACATACTTTTGAGTATATAAGCACAGACAGGACTTCTATCCAAGGATATTTTAAAACCTTTTTCTTTATTTTGTTTTCGTGCATCATGATTTTACAGGTTTAGATTGTGTTTGCCATCCATTTTCTTGCTGATGCTTTTAAGATCTTCAACTTAATTTTGATTCACCAAGTTGGAGAAKTGACCTGATTAGTGGAGGCAGCCATTCAGCAGGGACAAGTGCAATATGCTGCTCTCAKCTGCACAAATGGGCTGCAGAGGACAGGCTGAGAGTAACAAGAAGTGGAAGCTGTTGTGGGCCACGAGGTTGGCTCAGGTGAAGAAAAACCCTGTGCTGGGATGTAGGCAGGGGGRAACTCTCCTGATTTCCCAGCAGATGATGGCTTAGTGCAATATGGTCCAGCACTTCAAGAAAGACGTATTTGAGTTGGAGAGAGCCCAACTGGAGGGAGTCCAGAGGACCAGGGAAAATAAGGAGAGCTCTAGAAAATATGGTCTGAAAGGAAATATTGAACAAATTTGGATTCTTTAGCTTAAAGCAGAGAGGGGGGAGGAGGCATTAAACTCCCCAAGATTATAAGAGGCTGCTGCAAAGAGGGAGGGAATAATATGTTCTCCATATGCCTGTTAGATAGCACTAGAAATAATAGCCTTATGTTGCAGCAGGGAAGATTTAAGTCAGATATCGCAACCAATAGATTGCCTGGGGAGATATTTAACAGCTGATTAGATAAACATCTGTCAGGACTGACATTAAGTGTAGTTGGYCCTCACTTGAGCAGAGTCTGGACTAAGCAATTTTTTTCAGATTTCTTCAAGCCTTGTGGTAGCTGATTAGATTTTAAACCAATACCCCTCCAACTTCAGTTGCTGTTAAACACTTGTTTAATATTAATGTTAACAATGTTTAATGGTTTCCCCTGCCTGTGCCAGACWGTGCAGATGATAGTTGCTGGTTCTTCTATCCAGAAGAGTTTGGTTCACAAGTTGTTTTGCTCAYGTGGGTGATTGTTGCTRCTTAAGATCCCATTAMTCAAAGGCATACAGTGCTAACTAAYTGATAGCTTAGAGTTTAGAAGTAYRTAAAAGGTGTTGCTGTGAGRTATTACTGCCTCTYCTCGTGGCTTGTGGATATGTAYGTACAATATATGTGTGGCTGTACATATATGACTGAAGTGGGGGTGCAACAGCTGGAGGAGGCACCTTTGAACTGATGTAATCCAGGTTTAAAATGCCCCAGAGCATCCAAGCACTGCCCTGGTTTAACCAGGCTGCAGTTTGCCAGGCTKGGGCTGCATGACCACACTCAGGAGAGGGTGAACACGTGTGGGCAKTGCCACCACTGAGCAGAGCTGTCGGTGGTGACATCTGAAAGCATGGCCATGATACGAGCCAAAGACCAAAGCAGCTGATTTCCTTTTACCAGTTGTCGAGCACTAAATGGTTCAACCTGCTTGAGCAGTGGTTTTTGTGCCCTCCCCAGTTCCCAAGGCAGAGAATGAAGTCCCGTCCCCAGCCTCCTCCCACCACAGCAGCAACCAGCCGGCCTCGCTGACCGAGGAGAAGCGGACGCCGCAGGGCAGCCAGAACTCGCTCAACACGGTCAGCTCGGGCAGCGGCAGCACCAGCGGCATCGGCAGCGGCGGCGGCGGGGGCAGCGGGGTGGTCAGCACCGTGGTGCAGCCCTACGAYGTGGAAATCCGCCGTGGAGAGAACGAGGGCTTCGGCTTCGTCATCGTCTCGTCGGTGAGCCGGCCCGAGGCGGGCACCACGTTCGGTGAGTCCTGCGGGTTTGCGACCGCGAGGTTTGCGGCGCGAGGGGGTGAGCACGGGGATCTGTTTAATTGAAAGTCGTGAGCGTGGCCCGATTTGTGTAATTAATRCTTAATCAGAGGCAAAGAGTCGGTAGGTGTTTGCCTCCTGGGTTTTGTTCRGCACTGAGTCGGGAAGAGCAGAGTGAGAAACTCCAGCCTGGAGARCTGAAATGCCACCAGTGACAATTGCTGCTGCTGGCTGTCTGGGAGAGCCTCTCTGGGGTTTGCTCTCGGAGGAGCAGCTGGGGATCCTCCCAGTGATGCTGTTTGCCAGTGCAGAAACGGAGCAGGTGGAATGAAATGTGTCTCCTGATGGCGGAACCGAGCCAGTTGATTTTAAAGCAGTAATGCTTAAACTGATTAACTTCTCTTTGGCAATCAGGGTTGTTCTGATCATCATTATGGAGTGAGCATGCTGATAGCGGGGAAGTTTTAATTAATAGTGCTTGCTGGTGAGACATAAAATGAGGAAAAATTGTTAAAAAAACAGGATGTTTCTTTTACCCATTTCACCTCTTTCCAAATCCATTTCTTCAGAGTAGGAAGAAAGTAAGTTTAAGCATAAGTTTAAGCAATGTCGCATGTAATATCCTGCCCTAATAGAGGTGGTCATGGTTTCTGTCTGAGGASAGTCTTTCTGCTAGGCAGACACCCATTTCTAGGGGGTGCTGCAAAGGAGATGTACCTAAGCTGGTTTTGCAGATATGCCCAGAACAGCCTGCTCTCGAGCAGAAGTGTCATTGCAAGGAGAAAATCAAGAGATGCTATTTTCTTCCCTTTCCATCTCCTCCAAAAGGAGGCCAGAGGTGGCATCCACTTGTACTTTGTGAAGGAAGAAGAAGGTGTTCCTTAGTCTATGGCGCGTGGTAGGGGTGGGGGGAAGGACAGAGCTCTGCCTTGGCSATCTTCACAGTGCTGTGGTGTGCAGACAATGCATTTCAGGCTCACTGTGCAGCCTGAGTGTTCCTGGTGCAGGAATTGGCCTTTCCCTCTTTCTCCGAGGTGTTATTTTCTGACGTTTCTTGCCATTGCCCATCAGTGACAGACACCCTTAGTAACACATCGAGGGAGCACCACCTTCATTGTGGTATTGATGCAGAACAGGCCATTTCTAACACAGTTCTGGGCAGTCTGGCAGCAGAGATTTCAAGGGGGAAATTGTGGTATAAAAGCAGTGCATCGAGTTCTGTCAGTTCTGAGGTGCAAGGCTCTCACACTGTCCTTGCTGCTGGAAACTGCTCTTCTTATAAAATAGGTGTTTTGGTTTACACAGTGGTGTAATATAAACCAGATTAACCCAAACGTCTAGAACATATAGAACAGGGAGAGTGCTTTTATCTTCTGAATGTATTTGCAAACGTGTATAAATAACTTTTACTGTATGAAGATTATGATCTAACTCTTCTCTGCAGAGAAACCTTCACCTGAGGTTGTAAAGGGTTGTGTTTGMTTTAGCCCAAAATACTTGCTAACTGGAAGTTTTCTGTGCAGGGGCTCCCAAGGAGATCTGTTGATCTGTGACTGTTTTTCCTTTAATTTTTTCAAGTATACTCAGCTTTTTCCTAATACTCCGCATGAGATATGTGTTCCCTCTTCTGTCTGGTGCTTGCTCTGGACCTGCTTTGTAGTTTTTTTCTTTCATGGGTAGTATTTAGAGATGGGCCAAACTGGTTCTAAAACCAACCTTGGTCACTTTGGTGTGGGCTCTATCATCTGTGTTCAGTGTATTGGAGAGAGTAGAGACTCATATCCTCAAAACAGACTCTGAACTGGATGGGGCTTTGTATTCCCAGAAAGAGAAACTTTCTAACATAATAAAATAAGAAAAAAGAAATCTCCTTAATGTTTGTAACTAATATTAACACTTTCTGCCAGTTTCCATCACATCTTTCTGGCCTCACATATCCKTGTCTTAGCCTTTTCTTCTTTATGGTCTTTCTAGTGTGGTCGTGTGTGTATATCTCTAAAACTACTACTAATCAAATAAAGACTACAGCAGAGATGGGAAAGTGCATCTTGAGGGTGAATGTATTGTGGATGCAAAGTGTGAGATGACCACTCTGTGTGCCCCAGGGCCTCCTGCCCACCTAAAAGAGCCATAAAAAAAAACCTAACTGCATTTATCTGAATGACGTTGTGTATCCTCTGTGTCTCAGTTCTGCATGTTATGGACAACCCTGTGTTTTTGAAACAAAAACAACTGCATGGAACAGGAGGAGAATTTTGTCTCCAGAACACATTCATCCTGAAGTGCTCTCGCTCTGTGTGTCAGACATCTCAGTGGTTTTGTGTGTGGTTTTAGAGGTATTTGAATGAGAAGGTCCTTACTCCTTCCCTGTTCCCACCTGGTGCCATCCAAGATCATAAAAGGGGAAGGGTTAGCAGAGGCTGAGGTGGGTGCCAGCACCAAACAGGTTACCTTTGTCAGTCTTGGCCCATCTGTAGTGGTCCTGTGCCTTCCCTGGTAGTACCTTCATTCACAATGGAAGAAAAATGTTTCATGTTGCTTCCCCGTGCAGCGCTGATAGAGTGGGTCTGTGTGGTAGAAAGGGAGCCACACTCCCTCCTAGGCCTAGAACGATTTTATCTTTCTAAATTGAGAAAGAACAAAACATTGGCAGAAGCTTGAACAGCAGTTGGCTTAGAGAAGGGCTGGAGAGGCTGACACCGATATAATCTTGGAGGACAAAGGTTGAGTTTTCTACAAACAACTTCAATTTTTTTTCTTCAAAAACCAAATCAGATTTGAATTACGATGGGGCTGTTAAGTGCAGTTGTAGTCAATACAAATCTCACCATTTATTAACAAAAATCCACTTGGGGGGGAGTTTTGAGKGATTAACAAAACACCTTTTTGTGGAAGAAGTAAAGTGTTGTGCACTCATACTAGTTGATTGCCAATGTTTTGAACACTGGCAGCAAAGCTATCCTATAATAACTTTTGCTTGATGCATTAATTAATTAACCCTTAACCTTCTCTTTCCCTTTTCAACCCTTTTTTTCCTTTTCCCCTTCACCATATTCCCACGTATGTAAACAATAAAAAAAAAAAAAAAACAAAACCCCCAAACCAATACAAAAGCGGGAAATGCATGTGTGGCCATGCCTCACAAAATAGGTCGGATAATTGAAGGGAGCCCCGCAGACCGCTGTGGAAAGCTGAAAGTAGGAGACCGGATCTTGGCTGTCAATGGGTGCTCCATCACCAACAAGTCGCATTCAGACATCGTCAACCTCATTAAGGAAGCGGGAAACACCGTCACCCTGCGCATCATTCCAGGAGATGGTAAAGTATCTGTTTCCTGCTGTCTTACCCCTCTTGGTTGCGTTCCCCTGTTGGGCTTTTTTCTGTCACTTGGAGCTGCAAAAAGCCGTGCAGGACTCAGTTTGTGCTCCCGCTTTGGGAATTAGCAGTGAGGGAGGTTGTGAGTCTCCCATAGCTTTGTTTTTTGTTTCTTTTTATAGAGTTGGTTTATATGATTTGGTTTAACAGGGAGGTGCTGATTTGACGTTAAAAAAATAAGCTTCCATTCCATGTATTGCCTTAAAATTATCTCCCCTAAATTTGATTGATCTCTCTAAACACTTTGATTTGATTCTTAGCTTAATAATGCAGCTGTAGAATATTTGGGAATCGCTTGTTAGTATGTAGGATTCCTGAAGCTTCGTATAGGCAYAAGCAGGCTATGGAGTAGAGAGATCACAGAAAGGGATAAACACTTTGACATGTTTTAAGCTGTTTTAAAAGCAGATTTGGTTTTATTCTGGGTAAGTTGCTCTGGGAGCGAGCTCAGTGCATTTTTAAATGACTGCTTAAATGGTGATGGTTCTGAAGCTGCATTTTAAGAGTTACCCTAGACAGAATGTCACTGTTTCAGGTCAGAGAGAATGTGCAGGGTCCCTAATAATAATCTGACACTTGGTACTGATTTCAGGTCACTGATGCATTTAATAAAAATAAGGATCTGTGTTATGTATCAGTTTCATTAAATGGATTCCTAGCTTGATCCCCAGATAGGAACTGATCAGAAACCTGGTTAAGTATCTGCAGCACAACTAAAAACTGCTGTGGTTCTAAATTCTAAGTGTTTTGTTTACAGTCCTCCTCAGCCATGGATGGGTTCAAAATGAGGGCTTGTTGGGCAGAAACCTTTCCACATTGCTCCCCACAGACCAGGATGAGAAATGATCTGGTTATAAATTATTTCAGTTTAGGGTGATCTGTTTTGCGCAAAAGCTTTATTTTCCTACTGTCTAGTGGATACCAGGTCAAATGGTATATGATGCTCTGCTGCTTGCAGCAAATTGGGTGTTCATGAATAATAAAATGGCTGTGAATCAAGCTAACATCTGAGCTAGCCTGTGCATGCCTGTTTTGGAAGATAAACTGAGAGAAAAATTGTTCATTACCTGGATTTTAGTATCTGATAAAATGGAAGGAGAATCTTTAAATTAATAAAGAACTTACTTTTCAAAAAAGCAAAACCATCTGAGAAATAAGCAACTTCTGAATGATTTAAGATTTTTTTTAAGGATATAATCTCCTGACATAAATGCTTAGCCAGTCTTGCTCATGCAGTTATGTTTCCCAAATATCATGTAAATTGCTTAGGTTAGGGAAACATATACCTGTGATTGGCATCATGTATTCCTGGGAAGGATGGAAATCCATTCTTTAGGGAAGGAATTGACTCTGCTTCCATAGCCATTCAGGCTTTAAGTCTTTTTTATTTACTGTCACTTTCAAATTCCAAGTCAGATTGCCAACTTTGCATGGTATTACCTGCATTTGTTTTCCAAAAGCCAGTRAGACCTGACACTCTCCAAATCTCCRAGGGGTTTGCTCTAAAACCCCGTGAGACACAAGAAATTGTTCTCGGTGTTGTTTTCTCTTTGATGTCTTTGTATGCTTTTCTTGATTTGTTGTTTTCTTTTGTTTCCTTTTGAGTGCTTTTTTGGCAAATATAAACGGTCTGTGTGCTTCAGGGAGGGGGGAGCATAAATCAGAAGCCTCTCGTCAGATAAACACAGAACTGAGGCGCATCACCAGACTCACAATAAACTCACACTGCTAATCTCTTCTAACATTATTAAAAACACCAAGAGTTTTTGCTTTGTAGTRAGTCTTGCACGAGTTAATTGCCCCAGACCACTGCAGGATTATATTTGTGATGAAATCACGATGTTCTACCACACTTCCAGCAGATGCAAGGATACAGAATGATAGAACAGGACAGGCTGAGATAGGGCATGTAATTATTGACTGAGAGTTTTAGGGCAGAACAGGGCAAGGAATCAATGAAACATGCAGGGTTTAGAACATGCCATTGTAATTGTATTGTATTGTATTGTAAAAGATAATTTTTGCTGTATTCTGTTCCAGTTTTGCGTGGTGGCTGGCACACATCCCCAACCAGTGTCTAAAACACTGGCAAAATTATGCACAACTCCTGACTCATGGGATAGGGTGGGCTAAAGATAGACACGGCACAGTGGTGTGAAGATACATCTGTACCAAAGATGTGTTGTTGCTCTGCATGGTATGATTAGTGTGACCTACTAAAGRGTAGGAATCTTGCATTCTCTTTGAAGCCCATCTTCATCTGATCTCCAAATATTTGTGGAGGATTTCAGAGGCTTTTGTTCTGGATGAATACAGAACACTTAACCATGTTTTGGGACTTTCTTATGTAGGAGACAGATTTTAACATCAAGGCATCTTTGCAAAATAAACAGAATTATTTGTTAAACCCCAGCAGTGTAACCCACGAGCCAGCTGTCAGTGGCACATCACCACAAGGGTGGGGTTTGGTCATGCCTACCCTGGGAGGTGCAGGCACACCCAGGAGCCTTTCTTGCTCTCTGAGCCACTGGACACAAGCCAGCTCTGGTCTGGAAGATGTTTCAGCTCCATATGCTGAGGGTTTGGGCAYGTTAACTTGGGCACAGCGCTGCAGGCAAAGGAGCTGTGCTCTTGCTGCACCCATCTGTTTAAGTGGTTCTTCTTTTTCTCTGTCCCTTTTCTTGAATTTCCCTTGACATGTGAGTAGCTACAGAAAGGAAAARCCTTCCCCTTACCTAGATTTCTTCAGGATTAAAATAAATCTACCGAGTAAATTAAACTTCCAGGACCAAGTAAGYCCATGACCACCACATCTTCTTAATTCAGGCAAAAACCCTCCCATTGCTGCAAATGTGTATTACAGCTGGACTGTAAATTTAATAATGGCAGATTTCTCCATAGCCAGTAAAATTAATTACTGGATGCCTGTAGCTTCAGAGGCAAACAAGGGCATGGTGGAAGGACTTACAATTTTGTGTTGGAGAGCCAGATGTTTCCATCCAGTTTCTGTCACTGTTGTCTCAGTTTGTGCATTCAGTTTAGATTTTGGATGGCAAAGGTGGATCATGGTCGGTGTTTTGTGGTTGCTTGCAGTCTGGGGTTCTYTCCTGGGTTTAGGCACAAAGTTGGGGTCTCCTGTGTGCAGAGCTGTTCTGCAGAGGAGCAAGCACCTGCCACTGCAGTGGCTTTAGCTGGGAATGYCATGTCTGATGAGTGGGTGTTTCTGCTGACTGTGCCCATCATTCCCAAAGCTCAACCAACATAACTGTTGAACATTTTGTGTGGTTAAGCACCACCAAGGTACAAACACTGAGATGCCCTCTGAAGGAAGGGGAAAAGGGGAAGGGTGTTTTCAGGAACTGCTGACCTCTGGAGCARTTCAGCATTTGATAGTCCTCAGTACTAATTTCAGGTCAGGATTGTTACAACATGTAGTACTGGAAAATGTGTTGAGTTCAGTATGCAAGAGTTGCGGGTTTGTGTTGCTAACACTTGGCTAATGGCATTGACATGGCATTGACATGACCTTAATTTTGGGCAGAATTTTGGGTGAGTTTAAGGTTAACTCTGGTCCTACTGAAATCTGTGATACAGCTCCAAAATGACAAGGGGAACATTTTGCCCTGCCACACTGGGAGGAACATGCAGATATCTCACTTTCCAGTCGCTCCCATCCCAGTTGTGGGAAGCAGGGGACAGTACCTCTCCTTGGAGCACCTCCTGCCATGCTTAGAGAAATACRGAATTTGCACAGGTTGATGTTAGGCTGAGAGCCCTTTCTGGTGGCAGAAACTGAGTTTAGAAGTTATTCCTGCTCTCTGTGTTCTCTCAGGGTACCCTTCTAAGCTGCTTAGCTGGCCAGAGCTGTTGATGCATTTGGTACAGGTGGTTCCAAGCTCCTGTGTGCAGTTTTCAGTGCTCAGGCAGCAGTGGGTTGTGTTTCAAAGATGGATTTTGGTATATTTGGGATTTAGCCACATTCAGATCACCTTGTTTGGTATTTGATAAGAGCCACATCTCAGTTGTACTGGAGATTGCAGTTTCTGATGGAGGAAGGACTGAAAAATTTATAATCCCTGGAATAATTACAGCTACTTTAAATTAATCCACCCAACCTACAATATTTAGAGACTTAAAATTGATTRGAATTCATGTCTTTGGACAATAAACAAACCATTATTCAATCCTTCATCTACAAGTGAGTCTTCATGAGTAGTCTGATGGTCGGGGGTTTCCAATACAGATTTCCTAATTTTATTTTTCTTTCATTTTCTAATTGAGTGTACAGTTTCATATACATGCTATTATGTATACTATATACTATTATATATTAATTTGGGGAATTAAAAAATTTTATCCCATCTCAAATTCTGTAAAAACAACATAATGATGCTTTTCAGTGAAATGCTTTTGCAAACCTTTTTTTTTTCTTTCAGTGAATAGCCAATAGTCTTCTCTCATAATAAAAACAAAATCTATTTTGCAGAATCCTCCAATGCTACTTTATTGACCAATGCAGAAAAAATTGCTACAATCACAACCACACATACTCCTCAGCAAATACCACAGGAGACCAGGTCAGATTGTTTTCCTTGAGGAGGGCATCTTGACATGCTCTCTCTTCAGTTACTTCTTCATCACTTTCACATTCCATGAGCTGTGTTTTTCCTYTCTCCCTCTTTCTCTCRTTTGTTACAGCAGGAACAACACCAAACCAAAGCAGGAATCCCAGTTTGATTTCAAACCACCCCAAGCAGCACAGGTAAGGAAGGAGTATCTCTCTAATTGTTTTGTTTACCACAGACTTGTTTCCACTCTGCTTGAGGGCTATGTTCAAATATTTCCCTTGAAACTTCCTATTGAGAAGCTGCTCTCCCTCAGCCTGCTGAAGAAAAAAAGAGGAATTTGCTGATTATTTTCTTAATATGTGTTGCTGTTGTTTCAGCTGAGAAACRTTTCCAACACATTCTCATCAAGACTTTGAGGGAATAAAAATAAAGAAAAAAAAAGCTGACGTTTTTAGGGCAGTAATAATTTATGTGTTTGTTTATTGAATTGTATATTTTGAGGGGCCTCTCCAGAAAGTATTGTTGTGTGCAAATAATAAATTCAGAGAATAAAAAAGAGGAAAACTTAATAAGGGGCGATAGCTGGAGTATTCCAGCTTGCACAGACAGCATCTTATTAGAGAGATTATCTATCTCACTGTTAACTTTCCTTGCCACTGGCCATCCCAGAAGTAACATCTTCCATTAGGGACTTCAAAACATCCCCGTAATAGTAAATAATAATTTGAGAAAAACAATGCCCAGGCTTCTGAGCTTCTTGCAAAGGAATAGATGATGTGGTATCAAAAAGGAAAAAACAGCACCATGGCACAGGCTCACCCCAAGTGCCATCAGGCAGCTGGCACTGGAAGGGAGGTTGTTTTCACCTTCCCTGGTTGGTAGAAACTTCACCTTCCCAAAATGTGCCCTCCTGCCCTGGGCACAGGAGGTGATGTGTAACAGGGGTGCCCAAAAATGCACCACAGACATGTCCAAACCCACTCATTCCAACAGCCCTTCACTGACCACCACCAGCCCTCCAAATTGCAGAGTGAGGTCTGAGGAAGCAGCAAATCCTGGTCTGTGTGCAAGAATTGAACTGATTTTCCCTTTTTAATTACAAATAACAAAACATTGGTTGAGTAATTTCAACATGAGAGCAGAGCAGCGCTTGACTTTGTGTTCAACTGGGCATTTGYTGTCTTCTCTCCAGCAGGACCAAGACTTTTACACTGTTGAGCTGGAAAGGGGAGCCAAAGGGTTTGGCTTCAGCCTGCGAGGGGGCCGGGAGTACAACATGGACCTGTACGTGCTGCGGCTCGCTGAGGATGGGCCCGCTGAGAGATGTGGCAAAATGAGGGTATGCACTCACTGCCTTTAAAAACACCTTTCTTTGGAATAAGCTGAGCTTCCTGCCTCTCCCTTCAGCTGTGAGCTAAAAGGGAAATTAAGGGTTCCTATTTGCTTCTGTCAGTGGCATCTGTCACTCTTGGTACACAGTCTACAGCAGTGTGTGTGTGTGTTCCGTGGAAGATGTCACCCCCTGCTTCCAACTCTGCTTTCCAAATTCCAGTACATGATCCATTATTTAAAGCCCAGCAGGGAAAATGTAATAGCCACAGTCTTTACTGTGGGTAGAGAGGGGACAGAACATGTCTGTGTCCCCATGGGTTACAAAATTATAATGCAGGTTTTGATTAGCATTAATTGTTAMCTTCACATATCAGCTAAATTACAAACATTATGACAGGGGCATGATTTTATAAAATGCCTGCTGAAAAATTAAATTGCCAAGTTTATGTACTCCTTGGACCTCTGTTAGAGGATGCATTGTAACTTTTCCACATGTGTCTTCTTCCCCTCCAGATATGTCATGTGAAGGGCATTTTCAAAATTCTTGTGCTGGGGGTAGACCTATGGGCCCAAAATTTTTGGTGATGAAAATGTGATGAAAAATCAGTGCTGCCCTGTGAAAATCAGTTCTTTGAAAAGCTCTTCCAAGCCCTGTTTTCTTTTCCTGATAAATGATTTTATATACCCATATCAGCTTTGCTGAGTTGTAGTAGGTATTTATGTCCAAGTAAGAATCAGACCTGGAAATGCTCTGTGAACATCCCAGTTGCAGCAGACTGTGAAGCAAGCAAATTTTTTGATTGAAGACTTTACAAATAATCAAAATTAAATAAAATAGCACCAGTTCTAACACTGCTCTAACACTACTATTGAGCAAAACAAAACAAAACAAAACAATACTACAGTATTGCAATGTGATTCTGCGGAAAAGCCATGAAATATTTTGATACCTCAAGCTTTGTCCATCATCTTCTTGTCTCCCAGGCTCCTGCACACTGAAATGGTGGATGGTCACTGGAAGGAGTTGGGTGTATTTAGCTTCACCTGGTGCATTAGTTGTTCCAGCTTTGCTTTGCCCACTGTGTGTTGGAGTGCTGTTGGACCCTTGTGGGGATTTGTTTCTAATCTTAGTCTYTTTTATTACATTGGCAGATCGGTGATGAAATTTTAGAGATCAATGGAGAAACCACCAAGAACATGAAGCACGCTCGGGCCATCGAACTGATTAAAAATGGTGGCCGCAAGGTCCGCCTGTTTCTGAAACGTGGAGATGGCTCAGTCCCAGAATATGGTGGGTCAAACTATGAAAACATTCCTTTCTTCCCTGGCATCACTCCATGAATGATTTGTCTCAAGATCTGAAGCGGGAATTCTTTTTTATTTTCCTTTCTCACCAGTGTCTTACCAACCTTTGCAACATATAATTGCCTCGCTTGTGCTGAATTTTCTACACATTTCATCCTTTGCTTGCTTCCATGGACTTGGGGCGCAGTGTAAGGCAAGATCATCATAGCAGTATTTTTTGGTGATCAGAGAGGAAAGCAAAACAAAACAAAAMAAACCTTATTGTCTTGTCCAGCCAAAAAAGGAATGTCATTGAACTGTGCCAAACTGTTTCTCAGCGGCTGAATTGTTGTTTCACGTAGGTCTCTTCTTCTAATCAATGCAAAAACTGGGATCCCGAGTTACTATTCTGAAGCAGTGATTTTTAATTTTTTTTTGTTAGGTTTTTCTCTTAGTTCCTATCTGTATCCATAGACATGAAATGCCAAAATGGCTTATAAGATTTTTGCCTTTCCTTAATATTTATGTAAATATTTATAAAGTTATTTAAGAAAAAKAAGGAAAAAAAGAAAAAAGCTTTACTGCAAAAGTATATTGATTTGGCCTCCTGAGCCCTTTTCTCCCCCCTTAAACAGTCTGCTGGTTTCAACTAGTTAATTTGTAAGGTCTGAAAAGGTGAGGAGGTTATGAAAAGGTGCTCTCTTGTCTGTCTTGGGGGAAACAGTCAATCCTYGTTTCTTACTAAGAATTGCATTAGATTTCCTTTTCTTCCCCTGGAGGTTGGATTGCTGGGTGGCTTAACTTAGCACACTATTTAATATTATAATTATGTCTTATTTATTTGAGATAATTGTCAAATATTGTGCCCTCGATGGAGGGCTACTCCCAACCAAAGGTCTTTGAGGTTTCTATAGAAACTGATGATTGAAGGGATGTCCTTTATACTTTCCTCCCCGTATTTGGGTTATTTCCGTGTCAGTAAGTTCTGTGTTTATCATTCTCTCCGTGCCCTAACACCAGAAACAAAACCCTGCTGCACAATTTATGAACTAGATTTTCTTTTCATTTACTGTACCACGTTTGAGAGTTTCTGCTCAGTCTGCTCATTATTTAACTTAAAATGACCAATTCAGAGTATAACCAACAAACAATTGAAGTGTTTAAYGACATGGAAGGGAAGTTGTGGGTTTACACTTCTGTAATATAAATAGCACACCAGAAGGTTCAATGATGGCACTGAAATTCTGTAATGTTCTTTCTACTTTTGTCTTTTCCTATACTYCTCTGGATGTACAGTACTGTATCATATGCTAGACTGCATAAATACCCTGTAAATTAAGTGCTTCACTTCTCAAAGCATATGTCTGTTGCACTGAGGATGGAAATCCATCACCAATTTTCTTTTGGCTAATGCTAACCACTAAACGTTCGTTCTCCAAGCAAGGATTTAATATACAGGGGTTGCACTACTGTAAAGAATATCCTTGTAACATTTGGGACTCCTTCCTCTCTTCRTTCTGTTCGCTGCAGTCGCAAATGGTTCCTCTAATAATGTTAAGTTCCAATATTTTTCTGACTTGATTGGAACGTGCTTCTCTATGAGGCTGTATATTTTTGTAATGAGTTTTGTACTTATTTTTAATGTTGTGGTCTCTGGTGGACTTTATTTTTCGTTGTTGTTTGATTGTTAATGTTTTTTCTATGACATTCTGTGTCGCTGTTCCAGCTGTCTTTTAGAATGGATGCTCTCGTTGTCTGGGTTATTGAATCACCTCTTAGATGTCTCTTTATGTCACAATAATAACAACTGCTGTCTTTGCAGCCTTATATTTGGGTGAAGCCTAGACAATCTGACTGGAAAAATAAACTTTCTTTATTCTAAGATAAAATATGAAGATTTTTCTTTCTTTCATCTTTGTTATAGGGAATCTAAATTTTCTACTTTTCTCTTTCTCTTTCTCTTACCTTTCTTGGTGCTGGGCTCTTCCTTCCTCAGCGATGATACCTCCTAATATCGCTGCATGTATGAGAAATGACAAGCTCGGGGAGTCTTGCTTCTACCTTATGGGCCATAATCAAACTACGGTTTGTAGCTAAAATCAATATTAGGTGTTTTTGTGCTGTGGCCTAATTCCCTCACATTGCTTTTCCGCTTCGCTATATTCTATATGTACAGCAATTCATCCCGAACACCCTGCGTGCCCCGAATTGTAAGTACACACACCACAGGACATGTCTGAACCTTGCTTGTACCCTGTGTGATAGCCAGGTTGCCACAAGCCACGGAAAAGCAGCGTGGTCCCATCCCCAGCTGTGGCCTCAGAGTGCTAATAAAGCAAAACTGTTCCACGCGTGAGTCACAACACAGGTTTCACCTGGAAAAAAAACACAAAAATCACAGCCTATGCACACACCAACCCTCCCAAGCTCAGGGATGGACATGGCATCAAATGGGAGGAGGAATGTAGAATGTTTGGCTTGGGGGGGAGGGCAGATAAAAAGGAAAAAAAAATACATAAAAGCATATTTGTCCCCAATATCTGCCCCACAAGTGTTTGTGAGGGTTTTCAGTCCACCTCAAGGTGGGTGCTGGGGCTCAAGCTCAGGAAGTGGCCAATGCCAGCCAAGCTGCCACGAAGGAGTTACTCTTAGGAAGAAAACAATAAGCAAATAAAAGCAGCACTTGCATTAAGGCAGCGCAGCTACTTTAATGTTTTTYATGTTTGTAATGAATCATTCATAAACATCCGTTACAAATGATGGCAGTAATTGTAGCTTAGCTGCAGCGCAGGGCTGGGGTTTAGCTTGGATGTTGTTTTTCTACCTCTGTTTTGCAGTTTGTCTTGCAGAGGTAGCTCAGCTGTTATTGTACCTCAAATGCTACATGAAAAACAATGAACTGGAGATTAGATTTGAATCAAAGCCATCCTACATATTACAATATCTTTCCATTGCTTTGATATGAAAAAATCATAACTACTGTCATCGTTGTTTGAATCATTGTGGCAAAACCAAAATCTACCCTAGGACTTTTTGTAACATGGCAGAACTAAGTGAGATTAAGCTATGCCTTAAATGAAATGGAAATGGCATGATTACAGTCTAATTCTCACACCTTCAAAATGTTATTTTACAAGGTGAAAACTTAATAATCAATTCTATTTTATGTGCATTTTCTGCTATTTGAACCGAGGCCTCCCACACCTGGAAGGCAGTTTTTATAATGTCTTAAAAGACAAAAATTGTTTCCTAAAGGCCCTCTTTATTGGGAACTATTAAAAAAAAAAGCAGCCAACAACCTGAACTACAATGGTTTTTTTTTTTTTTTCCACTGGAAAGAAAGTAGTGTAACCGAAACATTACAAATTGGGCTTGGGGGAAAATGTAAAATRCCCCATGCCCAGAAGAGCATAAAGATGAGATCAGCTTGGACCAAAACCTGGCTAACGATCAGAGCAGCACCAGTACTAACCTGTAACTCTCGTTGTTCACRGTTAAATTAACAAAAGCTTCGGTTAGCCTTCGCTGACTGCTTTAACAGTTGTTTGTTTTTGTCACTAATGAAGTCTGAAGAGTGCTAAGTGGTGTCACAGCGCCACGGAAGGCATCGATACCAAACCCTTTGCTGTTATTTTCTTTCAGACCCCAGCAGTGACAGGAACAGTCCCGCCACAGGTTCACAAAATGTATCGGAAATGAAACCCGCGCCATCCGACCGACGGCAGCACCCATCATCGGAGTCCAGTTATCCACCAGACCTTCACAAATCATCACAGCATGGGGACAAGCGGACTTACGTTAGAGACCTAAAAGGCAGCAGAGAGTTTAGCAGACATCCCAATGAACACCACACTTGGAATGGGACTTCTAAAACCAACGAGCACGTGCCAGGCAGGAGGATGGAGAGGTCGCCGGAGAGGAGGCACGAGAGGCAGCCCGAGAGGGCGGTGGTGAACGGGCAGAAGAGGAGGTCTCCCGAAAAGCGCAGGGAAGGGACGAGGAGCGCCGACAACACTTTGGAGAGGCGGGAGAGACACGAGAGGAGGAGAGACCTGTCTCCAGAGAGGCGCAGGGAGCGGTCACCCGGCCGCCGGCGCCGGTCGCTGGAGAGGCTGACGGAGCCCAGGAGGTCACCAGAGAGGAGAAGAGAGAGCTCCCTYGACCGCCGGGCCAAATCATCCGACMGGCGCAGGGAGAGGTCACCCGAGAGACGGCTCAGGGAGGAGCGGTTGGGCCACCGGGACAGGGAAGAGCCYGGCTGGAAGCACGAGCAGAGCCGCAGGCACCTGCCCGAGCAGCGCAGGCGGCCCTACAAGGAGTGCAGCACCGACCTCAGCATCTGAGGGGCTCCCCGGGGTCCCCGTCGCCTTCCCCACACTGAGCAAGCAGAGGAGAGAGTGAAACCACCTTGGTTTCGCAGGCGAGGAGACATCCGGCACCTGCTGATCCTACAAACCTTTTATGCAGATGAAATCTTATAACAAAAAAAAAAAAAAAGTGTTGTGCCTGATGTATAATATTAAAGAAAGTATTTTTCAGTGTATTCTTTTTTTTTTTTTAATTACTTGCCAAATGTTGGTCCTAAAGGATTATAAAATTTTGTTTCTACATTCTTTGTAGATTTCTTAAAAATAATTCCTTTATTGGGCTACTTTSCCCCCTCCCCAATATAGTAAGTGGGGGTAGCCGGTAATATAATATAGGCAAAGGATTTTATGACCAAGTTTGAATAATTTGATCCAGACTGTTCTCTAGTGACTCACTGCTACACTGTATGTAGAAAATTTTTTAAGGGTTGGGGGTGGGGAAGGAAGAAAATTGTTCATCTCAGTAGGAATGGAGCGCTCCTGCTGAAGGAATTAAAAAGGAAAGAGACAAATGTTCCTAAAATTGCAAGAACTGTTTGAAGAGACTACTGTTTCAATGAAGGATATTTATAATAATAATAAATAACTTTAAAAAAAATGAAAAAAATAAAAAAAAAAGCAACCAAACCCACACAGCACAAGATGATTTACGATAAGGAATTTGTAGTTTGTTCCATGAACAGTTTATACTTTCAGGCCCCCTGGACAGGATGCGCAGAGGCAGAAGGACTGGTCACCACCACGCCCGTGTCACGCGCTAACGTGGACTGTTGAGCTCTCATTAGCCTCAGCAACATGTAACGAGGATTTGTCATTAAGGCAGCAGCCCTGCTCATCTCCCAGCTGTATATGGACAGCAGCCCCAGCATGCATGGTCTTGTGTGTTTGTTTGGAAGCGAGGGAAGGGATCGGGATTCTGGGATGATGCGGTGGGACCACAGTCCCCCTGCTCRGAGTAGGTGTATTCCTTCTGCTCAGGCAAAACCAGTGGGCTTTTATTTTGCCAAATTCCAAAAGCTCTCAATTCTTGCTCTGTATTTAAGGGGKTTTTTGTTCGTTTGTTTTTGTTTTACTGGTTCATCCTTACTGAGACAAAAGGAGTACACTTGCTGGGGGGGAAAAATAGGAAATAAAAGAAAAAAAATATCAAAGGAAAAACACAGGCTGAAAGAGGCAATCAGTGGGACAAACTGGTTGTAGAAGCCTACCCATACTGGTTATATGCTGTAAATYCGAGTCTAAGAACAGCAGCAAAAGGGAAACCTGCAAGTTTCTAAGTTGTATTTTTAAATTTGCAAGTTGTGTGGTAAGTCTGCTGTAGCATTGGTCTAAGATTTAATGGATTACTGCCTAGCTGAGCCAAAATGTTTGCCGTTACTGTTGGACCACTAAATGAAACTGCTGCTTTTTCCAGTGCATTGGTGTGTACATGTATACTGAYTCACATCCTCCATATGAACACAAAACCATTGCAAGTCTATCACTGTTGTTGCCATGGTACTGTAAAAACAAAACCAAGAAAGAAGATGGCCGATCATTGTGTGTACAGTTGAAATTGTAATTAATAGAGCCTGTTGGAAAAAAAACTAAAACTGTTGCCTTTTTCTTGTATAAAAGAGGATTTATGACAAAATTTAGCTGTGAGGAATGTGATTAAGTGTTTATATTTCTGAAAATGGAAAAAATTTGATTCAGGGGATATATTTTAATGTAAACTGAATCAGGTATGTAAAGCTGTTTTAAAATGGGAGACTGTATCAGTAATTCTAAAGCTTTTGTTGGTTGGAATATCATTTCTTTCTTCATGGTGGGCCTGCTTATGTATAATTAAGCACTTGTATGCAGTCTATATTCTCCAATCATCATTTCTTGCAACATGCTATAGGCATAATGCTCTTTTCTGTGTTGATGAAAAGCAGTATGTGGGCCAATCTTTTTTATAAAACACTATGCATATATAAATACTACATTGTTCATAGCTTTATTTGACTTAATTGGRTTTATACATAACACTAGGATGAGTAGACGTGGACTTACCCAGTAAGAGCTTCTTTCCTTGGAACAGACACTATGTATATGATGTAGCAACAAAGAAGGAAAAAGTCTGTGAATGCTATTTTTATTATCAAATAAAGTTTTCCATACAAAGCATGCATGCGAGTGTAGTGATAAGAAAAAGGAAGAACCACACCTTAATGTTACTAATTCATCCCTGCCTAAATTAATAAAACCGTAGGTTACGGTCGCCAAGGGCCATCTATTAAATATGCATTAATCAGCCATTAAATATGCATTAATCATTTGACAAGCCTTAAAGCWAAGGTTCCCAGTTTTCCAGGAGGAAATTCCCTCCCCCAGAATAGTCAGAAACTAAAAGTTTAGGTGAAGTAAGGTCTGAGGTTTGTGTCATTGACTCTTCATAGCACAKCAGCACGTGTGACCATTTAAAATCAAGGCAGCAACCCCTCAGTTGCTGTTGTGGAGGTTGTTGGTGCCATATATATGTGTGTGTGACGTATGTGTGTACATATACACACAAACATATATATATATATGTATCACCAAGCCTATATGTCTCCCATCTCTGAGTTCTTAAAATGTAGAAAGACATTTAAAGTTGAAAAATGTTTATATTATTAGATTTAATAAATTATGTAGATTTTTTTAAAATTACTTTTTAAATTTTGCATAGTTTAACAGGCTCCACTCATCTGTTTTCCTGAAACTTCAGCCAACCTGCTGGGAGTCCAGGCAGCTGGAGAGAGTAGATGGGGAAGGATTTGTGTTTCCAATCACAGCATCCTTAAAGGGGTTTGTCTGGTGCAGCCTGAGTGCTGAGGGATATGAAAGGGTCACTGAGAAAGGGTTTGGATATTTTAAATTTGATTTTTTTTTATGATGAACAATGGTTTTTCACTCTGAAACCATTTTGTAATGGTGTACGCTGGTGATGCATTTGTACCTTCTGCGGTTACTACCGCGTTTCTTCTTGTTGTTTGTCTTATAATTGAAATTGTCTTACAGAGCTGAGTAGGTGAGTCTCACACTTTTGAAGTTTGGAGTCTCAGCTAAAGATATTACATAGATAATACCAAAATTACAGAAACATTWAATTTTAAAAAACACCACAAGTTAAAAAAAAAAAACCAAATGAAAAATACCTTGTTGGTGGTGGCATCCTTTCTACTGGTTCCAAACTGAGAGCTGGAGCCCTGATCTGCAGCATGAGCATTGCAGCTTCRTAATCTGTGGTGCAGCCTTAGTCACTTTAATTAATTCCAGCCTTACTTTTGACCATAAAATAYTTTTCAAAACTTCTAAAAATGAAAAGAACCCCTTTTTAGATTGTAACTTGGCTCCTGTTTTGTCAAACAACATCCTACGACTACGAAACTGCCAAGAGGATGAATTTGAGTCTGTTTCTGATGAAGAACTGGGAAGTTTCTAAAGTGGTACATGAGGACGCTCTGCAAATTGATGTTGTTAGGGTTTGGGTTTGTTTTGGGGTTGAATTTTACACTTTTTTTAATCAGTCATACATGATCAGGTCCTTGTGCCATCAGTACGCTCAGTAATTTGTATTGATTAATACTTAATTGTGAGAGTTTTGCCTGCAGAGGGACTGTTGAGGCAGCRTGGGGAGTTGTGTGGGGTTTGAGCTCTTAGGTTGGACTTGCACGTAGCTGCTGGGTTAACTGAGCTGCATTTGCTGCCTTCATGCACTTCTACTCAGTTCACTCCTTGAATATTCATCCCTTGGCATTGGAGCCAGYGTTTTATTTAATAGTGATCTTGTGTTAAACCCATCTGCTGTAATATGCTTGTTTTATCACTGGAGTAGTAATTATAGATACTGTTCTCCTCCTCACTTCGATACCTTTTGTTACAACAGCCTTTCAGCTCTGTCTCTTGGCTGACTGTTCTGCTGAAGAACATTATAAATGGCTCATAATATGTTCRGTTTTTTTGGCTCTCATAAATAGCACCAGGAAAAGATGTCATTTATGACCCACTGCTGCCATCTGTAAATGTGTGGCTGTTAGGCCTTTGGAATTGTGTTTTCTTAAGATTTATATCTAAAAATGGAAGAGTGGGAACTAAAAAAAGTATCCCAATTTACTTAGCAGTTGCTGTAAATCGCGTGAGTCTGAGCTGATGCCAGTTTCTGTTTTGGATGTGATGCTAATCCATCAGCATTCCTTCCTGGTATATAATGAAGAGGCAGTAAAATGTCACGCAAATGGAAAATTGTGGGGTTTCAGGACAGAGAGGAGTTTAAAATATGTGCTGCCACAAGGACTGCTGCTTAATGCATGTAGGAATTCAGTGGTTGGGACTGACCATGATATGACAGTCTGACACACAAACATGAGCTTCAAGTCAGAGATTTATTTTTTTAGAATATAAGGCATACCGTTCCTGAATTCCTGTGTCTGAATGCTCTATAAATACACGAAGCATACCCTACTAACTAGGGTGTAAATGCCATTAAAAKCCARTGAGGCTTGTGCAYGAGCTCAGGCTCAGGCAGTACTAASCCCCATATTTTGGCAGAGTTTAGACTTTGCATATCTTGCTGGTGTCTAGAGGCACCAGCAGATGAGCTCTGGCAAGTCAGCAGAAGATAATGTGTGCCCTGATCCTTCTGAATCAATGTCAAACAGCTCTGCCCGGGCCCATTGTGTGGTAACGTGAGCTGCAGGGATGTGCCCACMCCAGAAACAGCAGAGATGAACACCCACCATCCGTGTTGACTGGACTCATGAGGAGGCTCTTACCCTCAGCAAAACTTCTTTGGCAGTGTGTGCATCACAAATCCTTGGCTTCGAGGCACGGTCTGAGCCTCGAGATGCTGAAGTTGGAACGGGGGCGGTTTCATCTCCTTGAGAAGTCTCATTAGCTTTAATTTTTGCAGCAAAGTCTTAAAAGAGAACTTCTGAGGAAGTTTTGCTGCAGCAGGAGGGAGAGGTCACAGTCAAGCAAATCCGAATTGCTGGCACCACGCCTCAGCCGAGTCATTTGGTCCATTCCTAAGATGATGTGACTTTGGTGCTCTCTGTAAGAAAGAATCAGGCTCGTATGRAATGGGAATTCCACCTTGCTTAGGTAGATTTTGTAACCCAGATGACCCCAGTGTCATCTGTGACCAGTCTTAAATTTCCTTTCTTTCATCTGCATTTGTCAGAAATTTCAGATGTTCTGTCATTGAGGGATGGAGCTCATGTGACAGCCCCTCACCTCTGCTGTGAGCTAAGGGCAGGATTGGGTGGATGGATATATTTGGGTGTGTGGCTGAGCTTATCTGCAGCAATTTGTTGAGTCAGGAAAGCAGGATGGTGAGGCTGTCCCTGCAAGCCTGATGGCTCCTGTACATATGAATGAGATTTGGAATTAGCTGCCTTGCTTCTTTCTAAGGATAGCCAGAAATAGGAATATCTGGAGGAGGAAGTTGGCTGAGGCTCATTCCATATGTKCTAAAGAAAATATTGATTGGATGTGGAAGCAACTTGGAGAGTTTCTTGAGGACTCAGGCTTTTGTTCCACAAAATGAGCATGGGTTTTTTTCTCATTGTTTCTCAGTAAGATACTTCTGGATCCTGGTTTTTTTTTCCTTCAGAGACTCCAGTTTGCTTCRGGGACCCACAGGCAGCTTCTTTCCTCTCTGTTTGATCCAACAATTGTTGCCACGGCTTTGAAGTGTGGAGTGTGCTGGCAAAGCCTTTGCCTTTGTAACCTTTGAACTGCAGTTGTGTAACTCAGGGCTGACTTCCAAGAGCATGAGACGGGTTTTTTGCTGTTCCATGCAGCAGGCATGGTCAGCATGTCCTTCTCCTGCTCTTCTGTGGAAACAGATCCTGACCACAGGCATGGAGAGCTGAGGAAAATCCAAGAATCACCCCCTGAAGGTGCACCCAAGTGCCRTGCCCTACTGGTTTCCAGATGTGGCATAAAAACTGAAAGAAGTCATTAAATTTTGGGGACTGATTCACAGTACTGTAATTCATTATTCTGTGAAATGATTTATTGAATGGTTAGATGTTTAAAGATTCCCGTGCACATTATTTGCATGGTAATAACAGTGAGAGAAAAAGAAAAGACCATAAAAATATTCATGGCATATGTTTTCTTTTTCTTGTTGAGGATGCATAAGACATCTGTTTTCCTTCTCCACTCCTTTCTCTGGTTGAAATGATAACCTGATGAGACAGGTGTTTTTAGACAAAATGCTGGGGAATGTCAAAATGAAATATTTTTGCTGGAACCTCAGAGAARAAGTCTAAAGCAGCTCTTCACTGGTCCTTGGAAAGTAAAATTTTATACAAGTRATACTTGATGTCACTTAATGTGCTAACCTGAAAAAAGGTTTATTTCTTTATAAAATAAACTACTGACTGTGCCTTCCTAACAAGCATAACACACATGGGCCCAAACAGTTTGTTTTTTAAACCTCTGACCCATTAACCGGATTGAAAGTTGACTGCTGCTGGATTTCCTTGTGCTCTTGGGACAGCTTGGTCTGGAAGTCTTCAGCTCCATTGTGCAATAACAATGCAAAAATATGCAAATATGCAAACTATAAACAGCTCTGGAGTGCTTAACGTGACAGCACGCATGGTTTTGATGTCAGGAGCGTGGCACAAGCCTGTGTGAGGGACCCTGTACCTGCAGAGTGCATTCCTGCCTGGTGCCCACAAAGCTGGGCCATTGGGGCTTGGGGGCAGCATTTATTGCATTTATGGCAGGACTCAGTGGCTTGGATTGGTGGGCCCACAGCTCTGCTTTACTCCTCAGTGCATCTCTGGAGCATCTCAGRGCAAGAAGGGAGTTTTCCTGCCAAGGACCTCCAAGTAAGGATCGTTTCATTTCACTGACAGCAGTGATGAATACGGCCATCATATCTGTCATTACATCAGCTCAAGTATTTTACCCTGAAATTCTGCCTATCCTAGAGATTAATCTTGGTTTATTAACTAATATTAATATTTACGATCATTGCTGCTGTTATTGCATTGCTTCAGCCTATTGTGAAAATCCATATCCCTCTGCTTTCTAAAGGCTTCATTCATCTGCCTGACTCTTCTCATGCCAATTATGACTTTATAAAGAGAGAGCCTTCTAACACAACTTCATGGCAATCACGGATTATTCATCCTTTCTGTGACTGACGTGTGTTTTACAGCAATGAAGTATCATGATTCTTTTGTATCAGAATTTCTTTATAAAAAAGGATGCACTCTAATTCATTGAGCCAAAAATACACGCTGCCTTCAGGTTTAGGTGTGCTTTACTCCCTGTTCATTGTGAGAAATGGTCCATGAGGATAGCTGTTTAGAGGGAAAAGTCAAATTACTTTGGAAGTGCTAAGTAATTAGACAARTAGACTTGTGAGCTTATTAGAAAGTGTCCATCTGCTTGTTTGCAGTTCTCCACAAAATGAGGTTTGGTTTGCAGTGG